CAGGCTAAATTCAGGCAAAATTTGCCTGAATTTAGCCTGAAACTCTGACTGAAGAAGTCTCTTGGAGGAGAGACGAAACGTTTCATTAAAGAAGAACCCGTCCAGAGGACCTATACAATTTTTTTCCTTTTGATTTTTTACCTGGATTACTGAGATGCATCAGGATATTTTGTTAAAAGTTTTTTTCCATTTCAGGCACCAGTGATCAATTAGAATAACACTCAGAAAATCCTAGAACTTAGCCAGAGTCAAATGATCCAAGGGGGAACAATGGACAGCATCCCCGAGAGACTGCTGGGGTCCTACTACACGGTATAGAGAATATCTCAGTCTACTGTTTCTGTGGGTAATTTTCCAGCTGCACAGCAACACAGAAGAAAGGGATCCATAGGGTCACTGTGGTCACCCAGCGGATAGTTGGTTCTGCTCTACTTTCGAAAATGAACTGCATAGATCCTCTCAGGAACATTAAAAAAATCCTTCAGGACACGTCTAGGCTAGGACATGTACTGTTTTAACACCTGCCTTTAGGCAAGCATTTCATATCCATAAAGACCAAAACTAACTAAGAAACAAAATGTCCCAATGCATCTCAGTAATCCAGGTGGAAAAATCTAAAAGAAAAAAATGATGATGTTCTCATCCTTGATAAAGGGGAATGTTGGTTTGAGAGAGGAGTAAAGGAAGCCATTTTTGTGAAGAAAAACCGACCATCATTAAACAGAGGTGGAGGCTTTTGTTTCCAGTTGTCCCCCTCCTACAATGCTGTTATTGCAAGTATGACTCAGCCCCATGAGAGCAAAAGGTGTGAATCAGGGTCCCAATGATAGTCAGATGGGCCACATTACCCTCTATGAACAACAGAGTTAATCAAATAACAATCTATTGTTTGGCTGATGGTCCTCTTTTGCATGTGACCAACCTGTTTGTCCTTGTGGAGGCAGTGCTCATAAGGCTGAGTTCACCTGAAACTCCTCAGACTGAAGAAGTCTCTTGGAGGACAGACAAAATGTTTAATTAAAAAAGAACTCGTCCAGAGGGTATACTTAGTTTTTTCTTTTTGATTTTTAACTAAGAAACAGTTTATATCCTTCAGAAAATCATCACGCTGAATGCTAAGTGGTAAATCTGACCTCGTACCTTCATGTTTGCCATGCAATACAGTTTCATGTTTTCAATACATCTTTAAGTCAATACTGGGTAAAGGACGAGTGCAATATGATGTGACATGAATAAAAACAGATATAACAGACAATGTTGTTTTTTTAAATATTTATTATTTTTTTTGCTATACTACTTATAATTAATTTTAACTTGAGTGGTTGTGTTTTTTGTTTGTACCAAACAATTGCAGCTCATATTTTGTTGTATGATGTTTCATTGTTGTTATGTTGATGATGCTAGTTTATTACCAATGTTTTTATTAATAATGCCTTTATGTCAACACTACAGTTACTGTGAAAAATTTCTACTCTGCAGAGTTAATTTTTTAAGAATAGAGATGTACAGTGTTAGAATTTCAGCTCACATAAATCAGGTCTTTCATGACTTTTTATTAATTCCCTCATTTAACTCTGCAGGTACAGTCTGGATGCAAGAAATCCTCCCACTGGTGCTGAATGGAGGAGATCTGACCCCAATCAATACAATTGTAAACTGGGATCGAGTCCCATGGCTGGAAGAAACAAGACTGGAAAAGGTTGTGGACCAGTTGGCATCTCCACGTGCACTGGTCTCACATTTCACCTACAACCTCATGCCCCCTTCCTTCCATACCTCCAAGGCCAAGGTAGCTGAGTAAACATTTTATCAGAGATTTATATTTTATTATCTGATAGTCCATCCATCCACAATCTCCTGCTTGTTCTCAAGTCAGGCTGTGGAGGCAGCAACTTAAACAAGGAGGCTCAGACATCTCTTTATACAGCCACCTCCTTCCCAGCTATTCTGGGAAGATTCCAAGGTATTCTCAGGCCCCCAAAAACTTCTGTCCATGAACGTTATGAGTGTGAAGCGGCCAGGATGATGATCAGTGCCTCAAAATCCGAGACCACGGTCTTGCGCCGGAGTGCCTTCTCTGTGGAGGAGATTAAGTATCTCGGGGTCTTGTTCACGAATGAGGGAAGAATGGAGCAGGAGATCAATAGGCAGATTGGTGCTGCTTCTGCAGTGATGCGGGCGCTGTACCGGTCTGTCGTGGTGAAGTGACGGTCTATGTTCCTACCCTCATCTATGGTCACGAGCTTTGGGTAGTGACCGAAAGAATGAGATTGCGAATACAATCGGCCAAAATGAGTTTCCTCCGCAGGGTGTCTGGGCTCTCCCTTAGAGATAGGGTGAGAAGCTCGGTCATCTGGGAGGGACTCAGAGTGGAGCCGCTGCTCCTCCACATGGAGAGGAGCCAGTTGAGGTGGCTCAGGCGTCTGGTTAGGATGCCTCCTGGACGCCTCCCTGATGAGGTGTTCCAGACACATCCCACTGGGAGAAAACCCAGAGGAAGACCCAGGACACGCTGGAGGGACTATGTTTCTCAGCTGGCTTGGGAACACCTTGGGATTCCCCCAGACAAGCTGATCCAAGTGGCTGGGGAGAGGGAAGTCTGGGTCTCTCTGTTTCGGCTGCCACCCCCACTACTCGACCCCGAATAAGCAGAAGAAAACAGACAGATGGACGGACAGATGGACGGTAAGTTATGAACAGAATCAATGACAATGGGCAGCCCTGGCAGAGTCCAACTCTCACCCTGTAGGTGTCCAACTTACTACTGGCAATGCAAACTGAATACTCCCACCGTCGCTTGTATAAAGACTGAATGGTCATTAATAATGAACCCACTATCCAGCTCTCGCAACCCCACAGTGCCTCAAGGAAAGTCAAACACCTTCCACAAAAAGACTTGATGGACCCCTTGAGGACCCTAATAAGAATATAGAGTTGGTCCATTGTTCCACGGCCAGGACAGAAACTGCATTGTTCCTCCTGAATCTGAAGTTCAACCATCAATCAGACCAGCTTCTCCAGTACCACCTGAATAGCCAAGGAGGCTAAGGAGTGATGCTCCTATGCTTGGAACACACCCTCCGATCCCCTGTTTTAAAGAGGGGAACCATCACTCCAGTCTTCTAATCCAGTGGCACTGCCCCAGACGTTCAGACAATGTTGTAAAGGTGTACCTACCAAGAGAGCGCAGCAATGTGAGCAGTGCTTTAAGTGGGCCGGTATGCACCAGTAGTATCACCACTTCTCAGTTTTACCCGTCAGCCAGCGTACTTATTTCCTAAGTCTGATGTGTTCTGGAACTTTGTAAAGCCTGCGTTTCCCATTTCCCTCCGCTCCCTGTACATAAAGCTCTGAACTGTGCAGACTGAGAAAGAAAAAAATAAAAAATAAAGGAGCGCGCGTGCTTGCTCTTGGCCGGCAGCGCGCTCTTCTCGCACACAGACTGAGTTTATGAAGAGAAAAGCACGACCAAGAATGAAAAAACAAGATGAAAAAAAATGCATGAAAACAGGGAATCCAGTGCTGAACAGTAAGGCACTTATTTTTTTCCACTTAAAGCACTGAATATGAGCCTCTGGAGCCTTGTTGCAACAGAGCTTTGTAACTACCTTAAGTGACCTCAGCCCAGTTATGAACAGACCAACTCTGAGGTCCACTATCTTCTGAGACCAGGTGCTCACAGACGAGCCTCTCCACCAGGCCAGGTTCTAGTGTAGGACCCTGGTAAACCATGCCTGGCCAAGAGAAATCAAGTTCCTCAATTTTGTACCTTGAAACAAGTGTTTTGAATTCTCTTTGTCTGGCCCGTCACCTAGGACAAATATACATTGGAAGACCCTACCAAGGGCAATTTCTCTTGCCTCTGACAGCATAGCTCCAAGGAACCTTCAGGCACACAAACTCCTACACTACGATAAAATGGTTATTCAAAGAGAATCACCACCTTGTCTGATAATAATGTTGCATTTTCATATTGTGTTCTCTGCAGGTGATCTATGTCATGAGGAACCCCAAGGATGTCTTGGTGTCTTCATATTACTTCCACCAGATGACTTCTTTCCTTGAAGATCCAGGAACATTTGATGAGTTTATGGAAAAATTCCTATATGGCAGAGGTCACATCTCACACTCTGAATTTATACAGAACAGCATCTCATTAATATCTGAATCAGTGTATTACTTTAATTACCTGCAGTGGAAAAAGATTATTGAAACATGAGGGTTTTGTTGATGTCCTAGGTCAGGGATGGGCAGCTTAAACAATGGAATGGGCCACAGCATTGCACACTTGCCCAAATGTAATAAAACTGTGTCAGACTGTCAGACTACATGGTTGTGGTCTGAGGTAGTAAATTCTTCTCAAGTAAGAGTAGCACTACTTCAACATGTTCTTGCTCAAGTGTAAGTAAAATGTAGCCACCCAGGAAGTGACTCAAGTAAGAGTAAAAAAATATTTAGTAAAAAGGCTACTCATGTACTGAATAACAGATCAAGATGATCATTTAAAATTTAAAAATAACATCATCCGATGGACCAAAATATAAAGCTATGCGGAAATTTTGGTATTTTAAAGAACAAAATGAAAACAATTCATAGTATAAATAACAGAATAACAAATTCAGGCAAAAGAAATATTTTTCCAAATCAGCTCCTTTCAATACAAAATTTATGAAACTAACAAAAACTGCAGGTGTTTGTCTGTGTCTGGGAAATTTTTGGTAAAAAAAAAAAAAAAGAAGCTTGTTCTTCATTTAGTGAAGTTACTCAAAGTGGGTAGAGTATCCAAAAATTTTACTCAAGAGTATTGATACTTCATGACAAAATACTCAAGTAAAAGTAAAAAGTACAGCATAGTACAAATACTCCTAAAAGTGTATTTTTTCCAAAAAAGTTACTCAAGTAAATGTAACTGAGTAAATTAGTTAATATTGTTTATGTACGTTTGATTTGAGATCATCTATGATAGCAGCCTCTGTGATTACAGTATACTTCTCATATTTAGCTTTGTGCAATGTGTTTTAGTGGAGACCTCTACTAAAATCCTTCATAGCAGACAATGGGCTGCATGCAAGAACATGTTCTTATTCTTATCCTAAATTTCTCTTACTTTTGTTCGTATGAAGGGTTCGTACGAACATGTCACGTCAGATTCAACAAACTCGTCTATCTTCAGGAAAAGTGTGTAAATGAGGAGCCTAAACTGATGAATGTGTATCCAGGTGCTTGTGCACGGGGAGAGGTGATTAGTTACCACCCCCAAAAAAACACCATGTAAGGATACACGTTTCCTGCCACACATTCCAGGAAGTGTCCATTCATAAGTGACATCACAAAGTAAAAAAGAATAGCTTTACGAGTTCGAAGATTAAACCACGACAGGTGGTCCAACAGGGCCAGGGGACCCAAGCCCCACCGGGCCAAGCCAGCACACGCCCAGGCACCCAGTCCCAGACAATGAGAGCCACCAGCGCGCCAGTGGGCAAAGGCACAACCCACCAGAGGCCAGCGCAGCAGGGGAAGCAGTGGGCCCTCAAATGAACCCTAAGAAGGGGCTGCCCAAGTCCCAGCCTGACAAAAATACAAGCATACACAAACACAATCCCACAGTCCCACCCTCATCCTCTCAACCACTCATTCAAGACACACAAAATGGATGCCAAATTCCTCTCACACTCCTCCATACCCCCCAGGTCTAGGACATGCACCCGCCCCCTACAGAGGGCAGCTCACACCCAGGAGGTAGACACTTTCAATCTGGGGTGGAGAGGAGCAGACAGCTAAGTCCCGGCCCGACTGGCCCAGCCCCCCACCCCAGCGAAGCCACGCCCCATACCAATCCCACACTCCGCCAAAGGCCAAACGTACTACCCTAACTGACCAACCGCCTGACTCCGGCAGCCTCCCCAGCCAGTGGGCCGAAATAAAGTCGGGATCCTGAGAAAAAAAGTTGGAATCCTGAGAAAGTTTCTCTTACTTAAAATAACGTTATTAGAGGTTATCAGTCCCACACATTGTGTCCAGACGGTCCCTCCTCTACCTTCTAGTAGCTTGGAAGGCACTTATCAATCATTTTTATGGCTGATATGCAGGTTTATCTCCTCACCCAGGACGTGGGTCAGCCCGGCTCACGGTCCAACTTTGAACTTCATTACCCACAACCACCCAGCTAAACTGGTTGTTTACGGTTTCCCTGACAATGGAGTAGTTTTGCAAAAGCTAGCCAGCTGCCTTCTCAGGTTTATATCTCAAAAGTACAGAATGGATTTAAATGAAACTTTCAGGAAATGTTCATTACTCTTTAAAAATATTTATTACACACAGAGAACAGTTTATGAAAGTTTGAAATGATACAGAGCATGAACGGGCACACGGCTCCATTTGGGTTTTCATGCCACAAACGAAGCACTCCACTCTGTGACATTTTGGCTGCTTGGAGGTTTTGTCCAGCGGTTCTTGGATTTTATTCTCTTTCCTGGACAACAGAAGAGGGGACGGGAGGGTGGAGGAGGCTAACCTCTGTTGCAGGGCTCCTTTGCCTGTAAAATATGAAAATAAAATAAAACAAATCCATCTCGGATTTTGATGAAACTTTCAGGGAAATTCTATCACTTAGCTTCCACAGACAGGAATGTGAGCCAAACCCCAGTTGGATTTTGGTTTTCTAAGATTAAATATACAGTATTCCCCTCTCTTGTCGCCAAATAAATCAAACTAAAAACAAGAGTTTTGGTAATTGTTCAAAGCATCAGGTGATTAAAGTTTGAAACATGAGAAACTTTCTCAGGATGCCAACTTTTTTCTCGGGATTCTGAGAAAGTAAGTCGGGATCCATTTTTGTTTTCTTTTTTGCCCCATGTCCCCTTACGGGCTCCGTAGAAAATATTTAGTTTAAATTTCAAAAATTTTTGCCTTTAATTATGAAAGTTTCTGAGGTTTTTTTTTCTCACAAATCTTTGACTTTTCTACATAAGAGAATGTCCTGTGGTTTTTTTCTTGAATTTTTTTTTATTAATCTGAAAGTTTCTGTGTTTTTTGCTCCTCCTTTTTTTCATCTGCAAAGTGACCCCAATCACAAACATTTCACCTCCAACACACAATTTTACCTACCTGTGCAGTTTTTTTTCTCTGTCCTTAGCCAAGGCTAAATGTCTTTTCCTCAGTGGTAGAGAAAAGGTGTGTGTGAGGTCGCATCTGTATTGGAGCTGCCATAGTGGCAAACTTTGTCATTAAAACCAGTTCACTGTCACTGAGACACTTATATATATTTTTGTGATTTTCAAAAATTATTCTAAGACCTGCATTGAGTAACGGCACAGGATGCCGGTTGCCCTTCCCTGTCCTAGGTCATCTGTGTTAACCAACCAAAGAGCAGTTTTTTAAATCAGTTTTTCTTGTCTGCAGTGCTGTTTGGAAAATGGACAGATCATATAAAGAGCTGGAAACGTGCCAAGCTGGGAGACAGAATCTTGTTCATCACATATGAAGAAATGGTTCAGGTCTGATTTTTATTTATTAATTTTGTATTTAATTTGTTTCGTTTAGAAACCAGAGGTACAGTTTTAAACTGTTTCTTTGAGGTCATTATTTATGTCTGTCTTCCTTGGCATAGTTCTAAGCCACACCTGAATACCCCTAATCCAGCAAACTGCTAAAGCATTTGCTTTTATAGAGGCTCTGAAATCCTGTGGGTGACTAAATTCACCAATTTTAAAACCAATAGCAAAAAAAATATATAAAATTTTAGAATGGAAATTGTATGACGACAAATGTGCATGAAGGAGAACTTGACTGCAAATTACTTTTCTAGGACCTGCCTGCATCTATCAAGCTTATGTCAGACTTTCTGGGCAGTAATCTGAGTGAAGAAGTCATTCAGAAGGTAGCAGAACAATGCTCTTTTAAGACCATGAAGTCAAACTGCATGTCCAACTTTAGCCTGGTCCCCAAGAAGTACATGGACAACAAGAAGTCACTTTTTCTGAGGAAAGGTGAGTCTCTAATTACAAATTATTAAATTTTACTTTTCAGTTAAGCTAACTGGCAACTTATATTTTGAAGATGTGAAACTGAGTTCACTTTAGCTAACTTGACATGAAAAGTTCTAAAGACGGTGATTTGTTTGTTGTTTTTTAAGGTAATGATGGGAAGACCCCCATCTTTTTTATTTATGTACTTCCTGTACTTCCTGCACCACACAGACTTCTGAACTGATGTGGTCAGAGAATCCGGTGGCGCCGGTGCATGGCAGCCTCTGTCAGTGCGCCCCGGGACAGCTGTGAATACACTGTAGCTTACCACCATCAGTGTGTGAATGTGTGAGTGAATTCGTGAATGTAAGTGTAAATCGCTTTGAAGGCTCCTTCACAGACCTCCTGTTTTTCCTGTGACAGGTTGTAGTGATAATGTAACTAAAATAACTTAGTGGCACTGGAAACTTTTCTCATCAAAAATAAGCTGCTGTGTAAAATCAAATTATCATGGGCATAGTAGTTCCACTAACTTGCTAATAGCAGAAGTAACTTTTTGTTGAGCTCCCTTAGCAAAATAAGTATACTTAAAGTTCATTTTATTTAGCATTCTTGATTATAAGTTTATCAAGTATACTTCGCATCATGTACTTGTAGTACACGATAAATATACTGATGTAAAATCCTTTCAGACTAGATTGGGACAGTTTTAGTTAATAAAAAGTATACTTTTGTATGCTTTCCTATATACTTCTAGTTTGTAATCTAGTTTATTGAAGTATACTTCAATTATACTTTTTATATACTGTAAAATATTTCCCAGTTGCTGTGTATGTTTTAAGGTACATAAAGATAAATCAGTGAAGCACATACTATTTTCTGTAAACTTTTAAACTCCAGCACCATATAATCTTGAACATGCAAGTTCATAACAGGTAATTTCTCAAAGCGAATGTGTTTTGTAAAAAAAACTATTCTGCAACATTAAATTAGTGATCATTTTGCTTTGCTATTGGGTTAAAATAATGTATTAGTACTTTGCTGTATAAATAAGTAAAGAATAGCAAAAATAAAAGTACAAGTATAAACTTTAGAATTACAGTACACAGTAATTTCTCAAAGCGAATGTGTTTTGTAAAAAAAACTATTCTGCAACATTAAATTAGTGATCATTTTGCTTTGCTATTGGATTAAAATAATGTATTAGTACTTTTCAGTATAAATAAGTAAAGAATAGCAAAAAAGAAAGTACAATTATAAACTTTAGAATTAAAGTATAAAGTATTTTAATTAGTCTTAAGACTTTTCTATACTTTTGAGTACGTGCTAGGTATACTTCACTATACTAATCTGAAGTATATCTAGTTTATAAAAAGTAAACCTAAAGTGCACTTCCTTATTTTAGGTATGAAAAAAGTATACGCGTAGCACATTTAAATAAACTTCTTTTAAGTATATCTGAGATACTTTAAATTTTGGTTTTAAATTCGTATACTCAAAGTATACTTGTATATATTACTTTTTGCTAAGGGTTGTCTGTAGTTA